CGGGGGTGAGTATGTGGGCGGCTCTGTTTAGGACCCCAAGCCGTTGGCGTGCACGGGTGGCTACGGAGCGTAGGTGATCGCTGAAGGTCAACTAGGCGTCCACCTTCACACCAAGGAGGGTGATGGTGGTTGTCTCGGGCACCAGTGTGCCACCAAACAGGAGTGGGGGGAGATCTAAGCCGGTGCGTCTGAGGGTGGCTGTCATGGCTTGGGATTTGGTCGGTTCAAACATCACTTTCCATGTACGACCCCACTCGTGCAGTCGGGCAACGGACACCTGCAACGACTGCGCGGCGACTGTTGAGGTCTGCTGGGAGGTGACTAAGCTGTACAAAGTTGTATCATCAGCATAGGCTTCCAAGCTGGCGCCGTCAGCGAGAACATCTGGCGCGTCGTTGATGTATATATAAGAATAATAATGGTGGTTTAGCGTGTGCGCTAAGCCCTGTTAACGAACTTGGAACATCTAACACCCATACTTAGTCTGATGATCATGCATCTGATTATGATGTCATTGCTATACATGCGCATGCGCAGCGCGCGCCACTCTCCCACGCATGCATTCCAAATCTTGCTTTAGAGAGAGAGAAGGAGAAAAGAGAGACTCCTTTGTCACTTTTGCTTTCCGACGACTTGACTGTTCACTTCCTACATTTTCCTGCCTCAACGGACATGCCAAGAACACGGAGCACCTCACGGGGTGCAAGCGCTGCTGGCACTGACGCTGACGGTCCCCCAGCTCTCTACCCGTATCCGCAGCGGGCTGTGAATTCTGAGAATTCTCAAGACCATCGGAGAGCGAGGTCCCGTGTGATCCATGCTCATGGGCACATTTCAGCCAATGCGGACCAGGTGACTTCTCCTGCGCCGTCACAACCAGCTCCTCTCACCCTGAGCGACCTGACTGGTGTTATCCAGCCCCTCCTGGAGCGCGTGGAGCGCTTGGAATCCAACGTCGTCGCCCCTACCACCTCGCCCATTGCCGCACCAGCACCAGCACCAGCATCAGCTCCTCTCCCGCTGGGGCAGCCTTCCCCGATGCACTTGGCTTGCGCAGCCGGCTCTCCAGGACTCCCCGTCATCCCTCCACGGCTACGGGAACGTATCACACGAGGTGAGTTTGTCGAATTTGGGGATTTGTTGCCTGAAGCCATGTCCGGCAGTAGTGATGTCCTGCAGTTGTAGTTGGTGAACGGCAGGTCCGTTGAGCTGGTGCAGAGCTCGTCCACTCCCCAGCCCTCCAAGCGCCGAGTCCATGACTTGGCGACGTGGTTAGAGGCCTTCACCTTGTTCACCAGAGTCCTGGTCGATGCGTCGCCGGACCAAGCTCCAGATTTGCTGGCGTACCAAGCCAACATCATCGAGGCCAACAACAATTATCTGACCGACGCGTGGCTGACCTATGACCGTCGTTTCCGTGCTGGTCTTGCTGCCATGCCGCACCTGTATTCCTGGCGGCAACTGGACCCTAACCTCTGGCAGTCCTGCTTCACGAGCCGCGGGCGCCCTATCTGCTCGCGTTGTTCTCTCGTTCACCCATCTCCAGCCCCGCATTGCCCCTTTCGTGGAGGGCTCCCTCTTGCGCAGCACGCAGGCGGGAGCCAGTCAGCCACCAGTCCAGTTCCTATTCACGATGGCCGACAGATCTGCCGGAATTACAACAACGGCGCCTGCACATACCCGTCCTGCATACGGGCCCATGTCTGTCTGTCATGCCGCGGCAAACACCCAAAGAAGACTTGCACCCAAGCGGCCTCTCAGTCTTTCCAGTGACGTCGTCACTCCAGTCAACGTGCCTCGGCTAACTGCACTCCTAGCTGCTCACCCTGATGCCCTGTTTCGTGATTATGTATGTGCTGGCATGTTTAACGGCTTCTCGATTGGTCACACCACTCCTCTGGTATCATGCATTCAATCTGTCAATCATCCGTCTAGTCTCTGCAATAAACAATTTGTCACCCTGTACCTACAGTCTTGTTGCGATGCTGGGGAAACAGCTGGTCCGTTTGCTGAGCCGCCATATCAGCTGTTTCAAACCTCGGGTTTGGGCCTGATCCCAAAATCCAATGGCAAATTTCGCCTCATCCATGACCTATCCTCCCCCACTGGCCGCAGTGTCAATGATGGTATTTCCCGGGAGTCATTCAGCTTGGAGTATGACACTGTCGATTCGGCTATCTCCTATATCATGAAGTTAGGCCGTGGTTGCTACCTGACCAAAGTGGACATTCGAAACGCCTTCCGATTATGCCCTGTTGCCCCCTCTGACTGGCACTTGTTGGGTATCTCTTGGGATGGTCGTTACTATTTCGAAAAAGTCCTCCCGTTCGGCCTTCGGTCAGCTCCGTACATATTTGACAAGTTTGCATCTGCCCTTCATTGCGTTCGGGAGGACACATGCCGCCTTCCCCATCTCATTCATTATCTGAATGACTTCCTGAATGTATCGCCTCCCAGTTCTCCTCTTGCCCAGCACCAGAAGTCACTACTGCTCGACCTGTTTGCATTTAGAAAAGCGATCCTGTGAGCTTTTCTATTATTGTGTTCACATGGCGCTACCTAACGACACCGCTATTCAGACACTTTGTCTACGTAGCTACGTACGTTTCTACGTAAGATGCTCGGTACCTGGTCCTGGACCAGGGAGCTACTCCATGGGCATGGCTCCTAGATCCTACCATCGCGCGGCCGGCTGGCCGCATGCGTGGGCATTGCAGACTTTTTGTTGTTGCCTTTTCGGATGTGCATGCACGAGGAACTTCCTACTTTGGAACTGCTTCTTGCATGAGCTGTTTCGGATATTTCGTCTCCTGGCCTGGCTTATTTCGTTTCGGCGCTGCTGAGACCTCCTTTCGCGGAATATTACTCAATGACAGGTGAGTTGACCAGTTCCCTTTGATTCATTTGCTTGTGTTGACTCTTTCATTTACGAAAAGTGTGCTGATTTTCGGCGGAATGCAATAAATAATGGAAAAGCTGACAGGATCTCCTTTCTAAATTTAGCATTTCCGCTGCCGAGGCCTCCTTTTACGGAATACTCAATGACAGTTGATCTCTGAGTTGACCAGTTTCCTTCGATTCATTTGCTTATGCTCACCCTTTCATTTACGGAAACGTGTGCTGATTTTATTCGGATTTAGATCCATTTCTATCTCTTTGTCCTTGTCTACAGTGTGCGAAGAACGCGAGTTCACCTTCTTGACGGTAAGGCTTATGTTAGATGTGTTGTCGAATTACTCATATTCATTGCACATTAGTACGTTACAGGTAAGGCACTGGTCAGTGGCATACTATCGTTGGCATTTCCCAATCTGGAGGGAAAGGTTCAAGGACTCATTGACCGAGTTTGCCAAAATAAATTCGCATATCAGGGAACATCTGCATTGTGGAGAGGTTCAATAACTTGTTTGCTTCATACGAAACAAGCCAATGGGTGCAGTCTCGTCTCGTGAAAATCTCGTACTTGTATGATTGGATTTGTTTACTCGAGTCTGGGCTGTTTGATTTGTGAGTACCGCCGAGATTGCACTGCCCCAAATAAAGTTTCGTGCCGCCAAAGCAAGAATTACGATCTGCAATCTGTTTGTAGTACCTGCAAGAATGTGCAGTACATGTATCGTACTTTCTCTGTTGCTGTTTCAGTTGCCGTCATGTTGCTAAAGAAAGGTTCAGAGTCGGTGTGGCTTAGAATCTTTCGCTGTAGAAGAAATCTATTCGTATGTCTATTGGAGAAATAATTGTATTCACTGGTTATAAAATAGGTTAAGACAAACTAACAGAATAAATACCATCGGTCCCTTGGTGTTCGTCCTAAAGAGGTTCGACTGGATATCATTCATACTCACCAAAAGATGTGTAAGATTTTATTATCATGGAGTGCCTTGTTTATCTCTCAGTATCAGTACCTCCAACTATAGCCTTGACCCTTTTATCCTCAGGATCAGTGCAAATGTTGGAGCGAGGTGTCGGACTCAGCAATGTATTTGTTTACATTTTAATACATGTTTATTGTTCCTCCTTTGCTGTGTTGTTTTAGAAAATCGTGGACTAACAGTTTGAAGTCATTGAACTACTTCCAAAAGTTGTATCGACATGAACAGGATTACGATTTCTGTGCAATATGATGCTGGATGACCTTATCACGATAACCCATGATTATAAACCATTATAAACACAGAATCAACAAAAACATCTGCGAAACGCACCTGGCGCATGGCTACATTTCTCAAATAAATCTGATCGAGGGTGGGGAAATCTGAAATCTCTGAAAGGCAAGACAAATTTATGACAGTCATGAAATTCTGCAACAGCAACATGCACAGAATGACCTCCGTATAAAAACCACCACTACTCACATGTTTCCCCGGAGAAGAACATGCATTATGATAGTGCCATTTTCTGCAAGAAAAGGCTTGCACATCAATGCGTATAATACGGTATTGCTATGATCAAGAGTACATAAACCTCTTGATATGATGGGAAGGCCATCATTTACATAATTATTGATATAGGGCATTCCATTGATTGGTGACAGAAAAAAAAACAAAAGAAATTATAGCAATAAAAACTGCTTTATGGCAGTTTTCTAAAAAAAGTTATTGTGTTCTAGTCCATTGACCCCGTCTAAAAAGTAAGAAATTACCGAAAAGTGATAGCTGAAAATTAAAATTTCACACAAAACCTCACAATAATCACACACAGAATTAAAGGCTACATGTAGAAGACCTTTTCCCCTCGTGATCCTCTTTCCTATGCATGCATGTTGCCAATTGTTGGTGCAGTACAAGTTAAAGTTGAAAGCAGCAGTTCAATTGTTGTGATTATTGTGAGGTTTTGTGTGAAATTTTAATTTTCAGCTATCACATTTCGGTAATTTCTTACTTTTTAGACGGGGTCAATGGACTAGAACACAATAACTTTTTTTAGAAAACTGCCATAAAGCAGTTTTTATTGCTATAATATTTACAGGTCTCACCTTCCTGGGCTTAGAGCTGGACACAATGGCTCTGGAGATCCGCCTTCCACCCTCAAAGCTGACTAAGCTATCTACCGCCGTTTCGGCCCTCGTCCAATCCGGCCGGGTTCAGAAACGCGACCTCGCCTCCGTATTGGGCAAACTCTCGTTCGCGTCCAGAGCTGTACCAGCTGGTCGCACATTCCTGAGACGCCTGTACGACCTGGACAGAGCAACTCGGTCAACACCATTGCACCAATGGCTACGCATTTCGGCATCGGCAATGGCAGACCTGTTGTGGTGGGCAGAGGCCCTGACCATATGGAATGGGAAGTCATTCTTCCTGGTGGATGAGTGGACGCCAGCCTCCGACAGGCAACTACAGACTGATGCCAGCGGCACTCACGGTTATGGTGCCTTCTACAACGGCCGGTGGCTGAGAGGAGAGTGGACAGCCCAGAACGAGAACGAGAACATTGAGTTCAAAGAAATGTATGCTATCATAGTTGCCTGCGCGACCTGGGGTTCTGAGTGGAGCAGGCGATGCATTCAGTTTCAGTGTGACAACAAGGCCGTGGTGGACTGTATACGCTCCGGTACCTGCCGTTCACCGCCAGTCATGACACTTATCCGGGCATTGTATCTGCTGTGTATTGAGCATGACTTCTTGGTGTCAGCTGTCCACATTCCTGGTGTCACTAACACTGTCGCCGATGCATTGTCTCGCAATTTGCTGCAGGTATTCAGGCACCAGGCCTCGGAAGTAGCAGCCGAGCCAGATCAGCCAGTCTCGCCAACTTTCCGTTGACAGACTCCGTGCTACAGCTAGCAGCACTGGCAATAGCACCATCCTCCCGCCGGACGTATTCTACCGCCGAGACCCGCTACTTCCAGTTCTGCCAAGTGCATGCCTGCAACCCATTGCCGGGCGACGACTTTACTTTGTGCTATTTTGCTGCCGAGTTGTTCAGGACTCTTCAGCCTCGATCTGTCCGTGTCTACATGTCGGCAATCCGCAACCTTCATGTGGAACTTGGCTTTGCTTACCCGACGGGCCCAACAACTCTCCTCGCTAGGGTCCTGCGGGGCATCGACAGGTCGTCATCGACACAGCGTCATCGTCTGCCGATAACCACTCCACTTCTCAGGGAGATCTGCCGGCATGTTGCCGTTCCACGCATGCGGCACCCTCACGACAAGGCCATGCTAAGGGCAGCTTTTTCCTTGGCGTTTCATGGGTTCTTCCGTTGTGGAGAACTGACTGCTGGCCTGAGGCGATGTGATGTGACGATCAGTACTGACCAGCGGTCGTTATCGGTAAACGTGCGCTCATCTAAGACGGACCCCGACAGCACGGGCCACACAGTATTGGTTGGAGCCAGCACGGACGCACTGATCTGCCCAGTGCAGGCCATGGCAAACTACCTGGCGTTTCGCCCCGGCGGCGACCATCTGTTCACTTATGCTAATGGCCAGCCGCTTACAAGAAATGCAGTGTCCTCTGAACTGCGCAACCTGCTGCCACTCTGTGGGGTCACGGACCCGAGTGCATATGCCAGTCACTCTTTCCGGATTGGCGCCGCAACATCAGCGGCCATGGCAGGTGTCCCCGAACACATCATCCGTATCATGGGTAGATGGCGCAGTGATGCGTTCCACCGCTACATCCGGGCTGCTACAGCTGACACCCTGCGAGTGTCACGTCAATTAGCTGCAGTTCAAAGTCATCAATGGTAGCTGCGGGTTAGTGACCACATCATGCCTGAACTGCCTAGCTTTAGCTTTACATTGCTGCTGTCAGTACAGCACAATACACCAGTCGTATTTCATTATTACTCTCATGCCATATTGGGGATATTGGGAACGGGCAGTCTATCTCCGCAGCTGGCTCATTTCAATCACTACCGGTCGCAGCTCCTGCCCACAGCAGGCCGACCGTCTCTCGTTCACACTCTGTGTGCTCCAGGTCACAGCTCCTGCGCAGAGCAGGCCGACCTGTCTGTCTCTCTCCCTCTCTCACACACACTTTGTGTGCACCGGGTCACAGCTCCTGCGCAGAGCAGGCCGACCTGTCTTTCTCATGCACGCCAGCTGCTCCGCCCAATATCCCTGATATGCCAACCAGAAAACAATGTGTTCTGAGCCGGGTGCATGCCTGTATGTGGAGAGTGCGTTAATGGTGGTTTAGCGTGTGCGCTAAGCCCTGTTAACGAACGTGGAACATCTACCACCCATACTTAGTCTGATGATCATGCATCGGATTATGATGTCATTGCTATACATGCGCATGCGCTGCGCGCGCCACTCTCCCACGCATGCATTCCAAATCTTGCTTTAGAGAGAGAGAGAAGGAGAAAAGAGAGACTCCTTTGTCACTTTTGCTTTCCGACGACTTGACTGTTCACTGGTTTGTCCGTCAGTTGTCAATTTCCCCTTCCCTCCCAACCCCATTCGACTGGGGATCACTATCTCTCCGTCACTGTCACCATAATTTCCTCAATAACAGTGTCAGTACAACTCTTGTCAATATACTTATATCGGGTGAGGGCAGTCTATCTCCGCAGCTGGCTCATTTCAATCACTACCGGTCGCAGCTCCTGCCCACGGCAGGCCGACCGTCTCTCGTTCACACTCTGTGTGCTCCAGGTCACAGCTCCCGCGCAGAGCAGGCCGACCTGTCTGTCTCTCTCTCTCTCACACACACTATGTGTGCACCGGGTCACAGCTCCTGCGCAGAGCAGGCCGACCTGTCTTTCTCATGCACGCCAGCTGCTCCGCCCAATATCCCTGATATGCCAACCAGAAAACAATGTGTTCTGAGCCGGGTGCATGCCTGTATGTGGAGAGTGCGTTAACAATAGTTACACTTTCACACCAAACTAGCTCGGTGCAGCACCAATCACTGCAAGGGAACCCGACCCTCCACCATCGCCAACTCACGAAGCATGTGAACTGGACCGTGACGGGCCGACCGAGCACCCCTGACACACAACACAGCGGAACGTAGCAGCGCGAAAGACACCCGACAACGATCGGGTGGTGTCTTCAACTTCATTCTCCCGAGTCAAGCTCCGTATGAAGACACCCAAGAAGAGGATTGCCTGATGAGTCCAGCGGGGACGAAACGTACGTCGCAATCGAGCTATGTCGTTGCTGTGTCATCTTCTATGTGCCATGCGCTACTTGATGTATCAGCCTGCTATGCCGGATACCGCCAACCATGCATCGACCAGGCGCCAGGCGCGAACTGATGGTGGTGGTGGTGAGAAGGAGAGCTCGGTGCTAGAACTTTGCAGCCTAGAGAGCGTGTGTGGGCAGGCGTGTGTTTACCGCCATATTGCCGGGTGTGTCTTTACCACCATATTTATCAACCATAAGTACAGCTGCAATGGTGTCTTCAACTTCATTTTCCCGAGTCAAGCTCCGTATGAAGACACCCAAGAAGAAGATTGCCTGATGAGTCCAGCGGGGACGAAACGTACGTCGCAATCGAGCTATGTCGTTGCTGTGTCATCTTCTATGTGCCATGCGCTACTTGATGTACCAGCCTGCTATGCCGGATACCGCCAACCATGCATCGACCAGGCGCCAGGCGCGAACTGATGGTGGTGGTGGTGAGAAGGAGAGCTCTGTGCTAGAACTTTGCAGCCTAGAGAGCGTGTGTGGGCAGGCGTGTGTTTACCGCCATATTGCCGGGTGTGTCTTTACCACCATATTTATCAACTGCTTGTGAAACCTGAGTTTCTTCAGGAAGCTGAACGTATTTTCATCGGCACGGGCATCCAGATTGTCACTAGTGGGGTGAAATATCTGGGTAGTCCTATTGGATCTGAGGAATTTGTTAACACATTCGTGCATCACGCAGTCTCCCAGTGGTGTGGTCAAATTGATAAACTAAGTGGTTTCGCGGTATCAGAGCCACATGCTGCGTATTCCGCGTTAGTACATGGGCTGCGGGGTCGTTGGAATTACTTACTTCGGACCACTGCGATAGCTCCCGAGTCACTTGAGCAGCTTGATATTGCTTTGGCAGGTGCTTTCCTCCGTGCCATTACCGGACGGTCGTCCTTTACGGACACTGAGCTTTCGCTTCTTCGGCTTCCTGCTCGGCTCGGTGGCATTGGCCTGCCGTCTGTTGTCGAGATGGCGAGGGAGCAGTTGGAGGCTTCTGGCCGTATTACCGAGGGTCTCACGACGCTCATTAGGAGGCAGGAGTTCCCAGATGGTCCGGATGAGGTTGATGGAGTTTTATCCGCCGTAGCTTGTGCCAAGCTGGAGTGTCGTAAAGTGGCGCGTGAGCGACAGGCAGAGCGCTTGCGTGCTCTTCAATCGCACCTGTCTTTGGAAGTTAATCGTCGCGTGGAAGAATAGGGTCGCCCAGGTGTTTCACCCTGGCTGTCGGCGCTCCCTATTGCTGAGCATGGTTTTGAATTATCCAAGGGAGACTTTCGCGATGCCATTGCGTTACGCTATGACTGGCCGCTTTGTGACACCCCTGCTGTATGTGCTTGTGGGGCGGGTTTTTCCACTAGCCATGCTTTGAATTGTGCTTTTGGTGGATTCCCAACTATTCGACACAATGAACTACGAGACCTGTTCGCTGTTGCCTTGACCGAGGTTTGCTCCTGTGTGTCTGTGGAGCCACCTCTCGCCCCTGTCGAGGGTGAGGTTTTTCAGGCCAGGTCGGCGAACACCTCTGTCGAGGCTCGCCTTGATGTGAGCGCTCGAGGCTTCTGGACGCGTGGGCAAGATGCATTTTTTGATGTAAGGGTGTTTAATCCTGACGCTTCTTCCTACGCGTCCAGAAGCCTGGACGCGCTCTTCCGGCAACATGAGGGCGCTAAGAGACTGCAATATCAGGAGAGAGTAGTCAATGTTGAGCGTGGTGCCTTTGCACCTCTTGTGTTTTCCGTGAATGGGGCTGCTGCGCCGGCATCCACGGCCTTCCTCAGGCGCCTTTGCCTCCTTACATCTCAATCTTCGGGAGGTAGCTATTCGTCGTTGATGAGTTATTATCGTTGTCGGGTGTCTTTCGCGCTGCTACGTTCCGCTGTGTTGTGTGTCAGGGGTGCTCGGTCGGCCCGTCATCGTCTAGTTCACATGCTTCGTGAGTTGGCGATGGTGGAGGGTCGGGTTCCCCTGCAGTGATTGGTGCTGCGCCGAGCTAGTTTGGTGTGAAAGTGTAACTATTGTTATTATTCTTATATATACATCAAGTATTACTAAATAATTGAGAGGCTTTGAATCGTTTTTATCAAAATCAAAATATTTGCCGGGTTGGAAGGTGGGATCAAAAAAAAAAAAAAAATCATCATCATCATCATCATCATCATCATCATCATCATTTGAACAGCCTCTTCTACGGGCAAGCAAAAAAGCAATACATCAAAATTCAAATAGAATGAAAAAAGAGAGGAAAATGAACACAAAGTGCACTGGAACTCAATATAAAAAGGAACGCAAAGTGCAGTTGAACACAATGAGCATGGGGCATGGGGCCACCAATCGGAGAAGACCGGCTCATAATGGAAAATAAAAGAACAAACATAAGACACCCGTACACATCAACGTGCTCTAAGGGTATGGCAGCTTGTTAAAAAGCTGTGGCGCTGGCGCTTGTATGATGCCCGCGAACCACGTATGCAGGTAATACACCAGCGGAGCAAACACAGCGACAATACAGATCGAAGTTGTCCCATGACTACAGAATAATGTACCTCAGGATTTTTCTCAACAACAAACGATACCAAATTTTTCAAAAAACGAGACCCCTCTGGCCCACACATGCCTGAAGTTGAAAAACTAACGGTGTAAATGATGCTCTCTCTACAATATTTACACGGGCATCATCATCATCATCATCATCATCATTAGCAGGTTTTTCAGGCCAGGTCGGCGAACACCTCTGTCGAGGGTCGCCTTGATGTGAGCGCTCGAGGCTTCTGGACGCGTGGGCAAGATGCATTTTTTGATGTAAGTGTGTTTAATCCTGACGCTTCTTCCTATGCGTCCAGAAGCCTGGACGCGCTCTTCCGGCAACATGAGGGCGCTAAGAGACTGCAATATCAGGAGAGAGTAGTCAATGTTGAGCGTGGTGTCTTTGCACCTCTTGTGTTTTCCGTGAATGGGGCTGCTGCGCCGGCATCCACGGCCTTCCTCAGGCGCCTTTGCCTCCTTACATCTCAATCTTCGGGAGGTAGCTATTCGTCGTTGATGGGTTATTATCGTTGTCGGGTGTCTTTCGCGCTGCTACGTTCCGCTGTGTTGTGTGTCGGGGTGCTCGGTCGGCCCGTCATCGTCCAGTTCACATGCTTCGTGAGTTGGCGATGGTGGAGGGTCGGGTTCCCCTGCAGTGATTGGTGCTGCACCGAGCTAGTTTGGTGTGAAAGTGTAACTATTGTTATTATTAGGAGAAAGGAAAAGGACATATGGAAACGAGTTAAGAGTAACTCTCCACCACTGTAACTAGATACTATATACAGTCAGAAAGTGCAACAACTAGGCACAAAACTGACAGAGTACTGAGACATTCGACGTCCTGACACCTAGCTTCAACACATCTCCGTAGCGCTAACCGACAGCCTTCCAACTTGGAAGGTTCAAGGTTATGGAAAGACCAAAGAGGGGAAGGCAAGCGCAACGAAAACGAGCACAAGCTACAGTCCCAACGGAACAAAGAATGTCGATTGTCACTGGACGATGACGAGACCAGTAGGCGATTTGACAAAGCGGTCTAA